AACACAAAGTCTTTAAATTGAATACCAATTAAACATTCCATTTTAATAAATAACTATTTTTTTACTACCGCTTGGGCTTACAACACGATCAAATACACCGAAAATTGCCTGTCATGAACTATAAGGTTAGGATCGTATTGCCGATCATCAATGTTTTATATATCCAATGGCATGCATTCTTACAATTTGTTTGAACTTAATTGGTTAACAAATGTAAAGAAATATTTTATAAAAAATTAAATAATATTCTTTTATTTCAAATACGAAATTATTAAATTATTTTTGATCAAAATTAATAAATTCAAATTAATGATTTATTAATATATTTATTACATAATTTATTACAAAATAAGAGGCAATATATAAATTATAAAATGAATATAATAATCAGTTATCCCGCCATCTCGATAGTTTGTATGTCAGTTATGAATAACTGTAGTTATTTATAAGTAATTGTTGATTTTCTTCTTAATTATTTTTATTCAAAATGTGAAGATTATTCGTGGAAAAAATTGATTTTGAGAAATAGTAAATGAATATCAAAACTGAATACCAAATGTATGAATATCAAATAAATAGAATTTAAATAAAAAGTATATTGAACTTAATACCGAATATTGTTTAATTTATTAAATAATTTACTTGTCAAAATAATATAAAAAAATATTAAAAAATATATTATTATAATTTTTAATAAAGTTTAATTAAATTTATTATAAAATAATTATAGTTGCGACGAAGTAAACAGTTATGAAGAAAATAAGGTAAGAAAATGAACAGAAATGATTGGTTCTCGCTCGTTGTTATACCATTGCATTTCTGTGTCAGTGGTAAAGGTCTAATAGCGGACTGGATTTCTTATTCTTTTCAGTTTTATTATAGATGCCGGAACACTAATAATTTTTTAAAATTCATTCGGCAGGAACGAACATGATATCGCTAAAGCACAGGATATGGTATTTCAAAGAAATAAAGAGAGACAAACAAAACTGACTTTACAAATATAAAAAATGTCTATACCAAACCAAAGCATGTATGCGTTATGAATTCCCGTTCTTTTGAATCTAAAAGTCGCTAACGAATCTTTAAATAGTTCCCGTTACTAAAAACATTGGATTCTTTTTAAAGGTTTCATTTTATTGAAAAAATCTATTTTTATTTTGATTATCATAATATATGCATTTTAAATGTATCTTCATCGATAGAATTTATTTTATCGATAAATTATTTAATAATATTGAATAGATAAGCATATAAAAAGGAGAAAAGAAAAGATAATTAAAAAATATTTGGAGGAAAAAATGATAAAAATAAAAATAAGACAATGTAATTATAAAATGCTAAAGATGCATATATTTATGTATAGATATATGCTAACAATTATCTAGATTAATATTATAGAAATTATATGTATAATAAATTAGATGTAATAAATTAAGAATGAATGGTATCTCTAATTTTATATTTTTATGAATTATAGAAAAAAGAAGAAAGTAAAGTATTGATACTTACAATAGATTCAGCAAAATTAGTTCACCTTATTGAAGGTCGTTCGTTAGTCCCGTTACATTAATATCTGTGACATGAGTGCGGAAAAATATCTAACGAAATATTATTAATGATCTTGAAATAAATTAATAATTTATATTTTAGAGAGCGTTTATTAATAATATCAATTATGTTAAGATCAAATTAAAGAATTTTTAAATATCATTGAAGATATTTCAGTTAGATAGAGATAGAGATAATAGAGATGATAGAGAAAAATATATTATATTACATATTTGCTGACCGTTTGATTTATATTTCTCGTAAAGTACAGGTCATCGTTCTATATACGATGATTAGCAAGATGCTCCTAATAAGAAGATATGACTCCAGCATCCCGCTACTGAAACAGTTATGATGAATCGTGACCGCCTAGTCCAGGGTGCACGCAACGTGAAATGGGCCTTCAAGAAGAAAAGGAAAGCCTCTGGTCGTGGACGAGTGAATGGCTTGGGCCAACTTCATCGATGCACTATCATTTTTTTGATTTAATTTATTCAGGATAGCGATTAAGGGATTATCAATATGAAATATTTTATTCATAGCGACTTTTATTCTTTTTTAAACAAAATTTAGAAATACATTTAAATTAATCTTTCGAATAATTAATTTAATTCATAAATATTTCTCCTTTCTTTTTTAGATATCTTTCTATCTATAATTAATCTCTATTATGATTAATTGTTTTTGATATAATTGAAGAAATTCCTGGAAAAAAGAAACAAAGAATAAAAAAAGGATCTTTGTGTAAATTAAAAGAAAAAATTCTTGAAATTATTATAAATAGTTAAAGATCTTAACATATTTAAGAAATTTATTTTTTCCAAATAAATTTTATGAAAAAATTATATTCCAAAACAATCATCATATGCTTGATTCTGAACACAGTTATAAATTTCTTATAAATTCCTTATAGTTAAAAGAAGTTAAACGAAATATCTTTCAATTTCTTTAATTAATTTAAATTAAAGTCCAATATATTTAAATTATAATGAATGGGAAATTCTATTTTCAAGTTCATAAGAGAGATAACAAATTTTATAATGAAAATAATGAAAGAAAAATGAAAAATTTTGCAATTATTCGTTCAATTGAAAGATTGTTTTATACGAGAGAATTCGTTTATGAATAAAAGGCACATGGAATGTCGGAACCGTAAAATCTGCTCGAAGAATATTCGAAAAGTAGACCTTCGTGATCGACAACGAATAAAGTAGCAGAGGATTGGTCCGTTCCATTGAAAATAGTGCCAAAGGTATGTGGTCATTGGCCGTGCAACTCATCCCCACGTGAGTACGCAAGCTATATAGAACACTTCGCACGGAATTTCATCTTCAGAACTGAGAGTCAGTGTCAAGGGAGTCCACTTGGAAGTAACGAAGTGAGTACAGTACAGTAGTACGTTTAAATAAATAACATCGATTTAATCGATCCTCGATTACTCACGTTCGAATTGTCAAAATTCTTTCGTGATCGAGAAAACGAGCATTAATTTTTCATTTCGAACGATCACTTTTTTTTTTTCTGCGATTCAAATTTGAATAGATGCTTTTACTTTCGTACTTGTGTCATTTGAAACTAGAAAGGTATATTTTCAAAAATGGAAGTCAATTGTTTGTAGAATTACAAAAATTTTAAACATGATTTTAGATATTATTTTTTAATAGTAATAAAGGACTTTTATACGAAAAGAATAAAATTAGAAATTGATTTGGAATAAGATTGAAAAATTATCGAGCGAAAAAACAGATTTTTAAGATAAAAGTACTTTTTTACAGGTGTTGCCTACAGTTAGAATTAGTTGGTGATCTTTCCGGCAACGCCGGAAAAGTACCGTTTTCGAAAGGCGTATTTTCTTCAACACTTTTTCTATTTATTTTTAAACTTTCAAAATATTTTTTTATTTTATTTGTTATACAATTTCTCTCTTATTAATAAAAAATCTAATGTAAATTAAACGACAATTTCTTTTAAATTCTTTTTTTTTATAAATAACAAACTTGTATAAATTTAAAACGTATCAATTATTCTTACAATTATTCTCCTCTACCCTTTTCTTCAATTCTTTCGAACATTTATCAAACAAAATTCCATTTGCTTTTATCCGTCCAAAATTTTATTATATCTTAAATAAAATAACTTTAACTTGGATTAAATTTTCACGATCATTTCTTCTTTCTTTCTTTTTCTTTTTTTTTTTCTTTCGTTTTTCTTTTTCCTTTTCCTCTCTCATATTATTTGTTTGTCTTTCGTTTAGGAGGTCGGTGACTGCAGTCTAAGAGATTGAACACGACAGTAGGTCGCGACCGCGTTTTCAGATAACGGTATCCCTCGAGTTCAACAAACCGGTAGCTTCGATCGAGAAGTGGGCTACCTGGTGCTACCAGGATGACCTTAACCGCTCTGACACACTTTCTTGCCGCTCGACGTTCTTTCTTTGCTTATACACGCATTACACACTCCTTTTTTTCTTTATCGCTCCTCCACTCGGATCAAGATTACCAATACCAAATCTTTTCGGTGAAGATTGATCTTCTCTTTCTCTCCTTCTTCTTTTTTTCTTTATGGAAAAATAATGGAAAAAAATATTGTACATTCGAGATTGCGCATGCACTCGGCCATTATGGGATATTAAATTAACATAATTTTCGTAGATACACTTCGATTTTTTTAAAATTTCAATCTTGACTTGTATTTGCGACCGATCTGATACTCAAATTAAATCATAGTTGTTCAAAAGAAAGAAAATAAATTAATAGAAAAGATCAAATATGGAAGTTGTGATATATCCGTGTTTCGAAACAGTGGATTTGGAATCTTCATTCCAAATCACTTTCTCTTTTTTTTTTTGAATCATTCAAAGTTGTGTCATCCCCTTTCTTTCTCGATTCATTAATTTTTTGATCCTTACTAACCGACTTAATTAACAACTCTTTCAATTTCTCTCCTTCCTTTTTTTCCAGAATGAATTACAGCCAATGCATGTCGCTATGCTTGATGGCGCTTGTTCTTGGACAAGCAGCCACGCTGCCACAGCACACTCAGTATCCGCAACAGTTCCAACAGCAGGTCAGAGACGAGAGGAAATTCGCAGAAAAGCCAAACGCAATGAAAAAGGTGGCCCTCGATGACCTAGACGACATTAGTACCAATCAGATTCAAGTAAATTATCGTTACATTCAATTTCTACAGTATTAATTAATTAATTCACTCCTTCCTATCTCCTTAAAATTTTCATCAATCAAATTCTTGATTGAATATTCTGTTCCATCCAGGAAGGTAGCAGTACCGGGTTCTCGTGGTCGAACATGTTGAGCATGCTGATGCAGATGATCCTGGGTCAAACGGGCGGAGTGACAGGTCCGAGCAAGAACGAGATCGACGACGGGGCACCCGCAAGCCCCTGGGCAAATTTGTTATCGGTGGGGCTGAGGGTGCTCACCGCACTTTTGGGAGGTCCTCAACAGTCCGTGGACGGTATCGACAAGGTTGATAACCAAAGCAGCCCCATGCAGGTATGTGCGGTATCCCACACACATACACACACATACACACACATTGTGGTATCCAACACCTTGTTAATTACGGTCATTTCCGCTTCAACACCGATTTATCTGCGAATCAAATATATATATTTTAGGTAACGATTAAATACTCTACTCTATCGATAAATACGATCAACCTGAACCTGAATCGAATTTCCGAAATTAGAAAGAAACACGAATTAGAAAGCAATCTTGATGATTACTCGAAACGGGTCCCGCACAACAGGAACAAGACAAGAGTTTCCGAGAGACTTTCATCTTGATCCGGGTCGAATAAATGAAAGCAAGCATGAGCCGAACTGACTGTATTGCGTTATTCAGGTCAAACCTACAAACAGTAGAATACAGTTGAATTATTCCATGGTATATTACGTATATGAGCGATGATCAAGCGTATATATTTGCTCATTTATTCTGATTTCCATTCATTCTTTTCTTTTTCTATCATGGAATCGTTCCCTACGTAGAACATTTATCCAGACATCACATACACGCACACGCGCGCGCGCGCGCATACACACACAACACACGATATTTGCTGTACATTTGAATAGCTAATTAGAACTGGTAACGCATACATGCTGTAGACTATACATCGCTAAGCATGACGCGGAACACAGAGAGTTTGTCCCTTCCTTCTCTTAAATACACAATAATAGAATTTCGAGAAGGAATAATTGCTACTTTGTCTCTCTTTCTTTCTCTCTTTCGTTGAAAAGACGCGACGTTTCGTGCACGTATTGTAAAATAATATCGTCGCTTTATATATATATATATATATATATATATATATATATTATTTCTTTTACCTTTCTTCTTTCTTTCTT